TCGGGCGCGGACCCGGCCGAGGACCCGGTGCGGCCGCAGTGGGCGCGATTCTTCCTAAACGCCCCGGAATCCGGACTCGCCGCTGCCCCACCTGCAGGCCCCGGGCACTCAGAGCTTTGCCACCCCCGCGCTACTTTGTTGACATCCGAACCCACCGCGGGGCTTTGGCACTGTTAAGGGCTCTGTCTTTTGTTTTCACTCCATACCACCCCGCACACATTAATATTAAGGGGAGTTTTTTTTTTTCTTATTACTCATTGGACCCGAAGGGATGAATCCTCGTTCCGTTAGAAAGAGTGAGGCAAGACAAATGACAAATGGGATATTTAGAAATACTTTGTTACGGTTACGTAGAAAGTTCACTTTCTGGGCAAAGGGAGTGGCAGTGTACTTCCTACGGGAGACACGTGGTTTTCGGTGTAAGCTTTCTTCTATTTGTTTGCTTTGAAGCAGCCTAGAGGCTAGGCCTTTGTAAAAGCTCTCAGATAACTGCTCCTCAGGTTCAAAATTCAAAGTAGATGAGCGATACCCACACTCAAAACAAAATATAATTCAGTTATAAGCTAACTACTGCCTGGGCTCCAAAAATATTTCGTCTCTTGAAAAATGCATTGGGTAATGGAATCATGATGGTGCCTTGGATGGGTGTTCTGACAAGCTAGAGGTAGGCCCACTTGATCGAAGACTTTCTACCTAATTTGATGCCATTAATACCGTTTGAGCATGGGAAAATAAATTACAGAATTGCAAATATTCTCTGATTTAGCATGGGGTTTTTTTTCTTCATTTTTTTTTCTTTTTTATGCAAAAGTCTACCCATTTCTTGACTAAATTTTTTTTTTTTTTTTTGGGTACCAGGGATTGAACTCGGGTCCTTGCGCTTGCAAGGCAGGCCGCCGAACCGCTCAGCTAAATCCCCGGCCCCTCCTGACTAAATTGAGAGTGAAATGTTTTATCATTTTAAGCATCAACTGACCCTCCCATCGAACGTTCTGCTCCTCCAACTCGCAGCGTACGTGTTTACGAGGTTCCCAGAGATGTTGCTGTAGAAAGGCCTTAGGAGCTGCTCTAGAAGCCCATCTTTCCCTTGTGTGGGCCTTAAAATTAGATCTGGCCTTGTTGTGGGATAAGAAGAGAGGAATAGATAAGAGGGAGGAGCTGAGGCCTGTTTATCTCATCTGTTCTTGACCTCCCTGTGTACATGCAAATTTAAGTTGAGTTGCATTGTAGGTTCTAATATTTGCGGTCTGTACCATTACAGTATTTATTCTGAAAGACTTTTTTGAGACTGGGTCCCACTATGTAGTTGAGACTGGCCTGGAACTCACTATGTAGCCCAGGCTGGTCTTGGATTCATAGTGGTCCTCCTGCCTCAGCCTCCCGAATGCTGGGATTACAGGCGTGCACCACCATGCCCGGCTTTTTTTTTGTTTTTGTTTTTTGAGACAGGGCCTCACGATATCATTCAGGCTGGCCTTGCACTCAGTATGTGGCCCATGCTGTTTTGGAACTCAAGGTGATCCTCCTGCCTCAGCCTCCCTACAGGGGGTGCATAGTCCTTTAAAAATCATTACAATTCATTTGTAGTGTGGAGGTGTTGCTAAGAAATTAGTCTTTTTTTTTTTTGGTACCAGGAATCGAACTCTGGTCCTCACACTTGTGAGGCAGGTGGTGGAACCACTGAGCTAAATACCTGGCACTAAGAAATTAGTCTTAAGGAAGATCATAGACCAGTCTGATCTAATGCCCTTGGAAAAATCTAGAAAAATGATTAAGAAGGAGCCATGTTTGCTTCAAAATGTTAGCTGAAGATAGTGGAGAAATAAAGTGACCAGACTTGTTATGTAGACGTCCTTATAACTTGCTTGCTTTAATTACTATCTTTTTTATATAATCTTAATATTTGTCTTGTTCCTTTTAAAATCTCATCATTAGAATTCTTTAAAAGTCTCATTAGGCACAAGTAGGTAGTTAAGAGATTTAAGCATATTTCTTTAGTGATTCACTTTGAACTTTACATTGTTAGGCCAGTCCTAGTAATGTGTGTGACATCTGCTTAATGAAGTTCTCCTAGGTTATAAAATTGAAGAATATGAAACGTTAAAATTACCAATTAGTTGTATATGCTACTAGGGAATGTCAGGCTTAGCTTGGATTGACTGCTTTGTTTGGTGTTTCAAGTTTTGTGTGTTATTGAAAATATGTTCTGTTGATTTTTTTTTGTCATAAATATGCCATGAACCCAAATTTTATACAGCATTTTTGCTGGAAATGATACACATTTAATATGTCCATATGTCAACAGTAAACATAAAATAAGAATTTCTCCCAATGCAAAATAGTTTTAAAATGAAAAAAGATAAAAAACCTTATGTTTCCTATAACTATAGATTTTGGTATATAAAATGCCTTTTTGGAAAGAACAGATGAAAAGCTAATGGCATTTTCAAAATTATAGTACTTAAAGCCTGTGTCTTTCCAATTCAGGATTTATGGGAGTTATTTATAACTTTGTAGGTACTTTTAATCCCTAAATAAGTATGTACAACTTGGATCAAATGACAAATACTACTGATGTCTTAATTTTAAATCAATGTGTCTTTTAAGAAAGGAGAAAATTAAGTAGAGGACCAACCTTAGACACTGATTGTTTATCCAATAAACACATATTGAATATCTACAAGGGACCATGTAGTCTTGGAGTGAAAAAAGCCAAAAGAGGCATAAACCATGTACACAAGTAGCTCACAGTATGCGGGATAACTGCAAACAGGTATGGCCAGGGTGGGCCTGGAGGAGGAGTTATACAGGGTTTTCAAGGAATTAGGTATAGGAACAGGAAAGCCCCTTTCTGGCAGCACAAAAATAGTTTGTTAGTGTCTGTTGGTTTTTCTTCCCCAAATCCTCTCAAAATAACATACTATACTTTATTTCCGTTTTATTGTTTAGAAGCTACAGAGGCTTCTTAACTGCAGCAGTTTATACCAGGCTGTCAGGCAAGGGCTTACTTATTGTTCCTGGAGAAAGAAAGTGCGGTGGTCTTGGTTACAGTGATTGGC